TCCCTGCTGTGTATCTCTCCATCTAGCTCTTCCTCTGGACCTTTACCATATTTTTTCATAACCTGGGAATCATAAGTAGGTGTATCTCGAAGTGATTTGAGCTGCTCTAGCAAACTAATCACATCTGAGGAAGGAATCATGGAACCCCATGTCTATGGTTGGTCAGAGACAGAGGTCCCTTCTTCACTCCTATTAGATGATGACACTCCCAATGGGCTAGTCCTTCAAGTGGGAGTCTGCATGCCATCCTGCAGAACCACGGGGAGCTGCTCTGGAGGATGACATGTGGACATGAAGCCACTGAGAACAGACCCAGGGACAGGAGGCTGTGCCCCTGAGAAAACTCCATCTTGAAAGTGCTTGGTGTCCTCCACACAGCTGGTCAGGGACTGCCATCTGGGTTCTGTGCACTGGAGCTTCTCCAGCCCCAGGTGGTTCCTTGTGCACAGGGTCTGTGACAGCGCTGACATCTTCTCCAGGAACACCAGTCTCCTCCCTAAACCTACACATGAGATGGATATAGACCTAGATTTCACCTAGACCTGAACAAAGCTAAAGTCATTTTTCTTTCCTGTCACAAACTTAAAAATTCCTCTAATAAAAAAACAAAATCCAAAAGTGATAACAAAAATCATGTGATAGACTCTCCATACATTCCATAAAGAACAAAAATAAAAGTGAAAGTGAGGGAATCTGAGGAGAAAGGAGGAACCACTATGAAAAGGCCTGGTTCTCTGGCAGGAGCATCACACGTGCATGATGGTACAGCAGGAGAGGAAGTGATGATATCCCGGGTAAGGATCTGACCTGTGTGTCCCCAGTCAGGTCCACTCTGGAGAGTGACCACAGGGCTGCATGCTCCAGGGGGCTGGCTTAGACTTTTGTTCTACTGCATCCCGGCTCCACTCCCCTCTGCCAATCCTGCATTCTCTTTCCGGAGGTGGTAATGTCAAGAACATTCCCCACCCAGTGTCCCACATGCTATACTTGATGTGAATCTGCTTTCTGGGAAACAACGCCTGTGACCAGTGGCATCAGAAAGTAGCACAGACCACATGGTCAGAATAACCCACATAGGTAGAAGCTGTCCATTTTCTCCATCTTCCAAAATGGACAGGGACAGAATGATGTCAGAAAGAGAGAATGTGGCAGTGGAAAATTGAGCACATGTTATGAGAAATTGACTCAAAGTGCTGACCCTTTAGAGTATTCTGTCTCTCTCACTGGAAAACTCTAGCTCAGTCACAGCTTCTGACTCAGTTCCTAGACATAAGTCAGTTCCTACTCTCAAGCACATTGACTCAGGGGAAGGACAGGTCTCAAAGGAAAAACCCTAAGGTTTCGCCATAGATGTATTGAGAAAATCTTGCTTCCTTCTTCTCCCTACGGAACTTGGGGCTTAGGGCTTGAGCTCAGAATGTGTCCTCTCTGCCCTGATGAGAAAGCTCTATGTTAGAAGGAAACATGGGGGACGGCAGTGCTCTGGTGGAGGAGACAAGGGAACAAGCTCTTCACAGAGAAAAAGCAACACACACAAAATAGAAACAATCCATCTCAAATTAAAGCAGTGGAAGAGTATTTATCAACTGACAAGAAAGCTGTACGAGTTCATGAGACCCCTCAGGACAGATGTCCACCCTTACTGGAAACACTTCGGGACTGGAGATGCAAAGTGCTACATAGAGTTAAATTTTTATTAAATAGAGGGATTATGAGGTGGCCTGTGTTCAGAGGGAACTTCTGTCTAACTTTCCCCAATTAGAGGGTGGTGACTGGGGGCCTTGCCCAAGAATTACCATCGATACAGGAATATCCTTCACATTTGACATAAGACAATGCTCCCATTTCTTCACAGGACTCACATGAATCTCAGCTCTAGAAAATTTATTTACTTATTTACTTATTCCAAAAAGTGCAAAGAAAAGAAATGACAATATTGGGAAGGAATTCAGATTATGTATACAGAGATCAGGGCTTTCATATAACTTATAAAGTCAGAAGATCAACAGATTCACATATATATGGGAGCTGCCTCGAGCCAAAACTATTCTCTGTGAGCTCATCCTCTAGTGGGTGAATATTTGCAGTTCTTTAGAAAAGATGACCCATTTCAGTCACAGGTCCCAAGAATCTACCCAACAGACCTCCTGTTGGAGACCCTGCCTCTGCTGGGAGGCAGAGAGAACTTCCATTTGGGCTCAGTCAGGACACAGGTCTGTTGTCTCTCAACTACACCAAAGCATTAAAAGTTTGTGTTGTTTGGCTTGAGAAAATGTATAGATCAAGACCTACAGAACATATAACAGCATCACACTCCCCACTCACACACCCTGACCCCAGAATAATGGACTCACATAACCAAAGCAGCAACAGAATCATCCCAAGGGACACAAATGACACACTGGCTTCCAGTTTTATGGATTTCAAAGGGATGTTCCCTGGCAAAGAGACAAAAGTGCAACGAAAACCACCTGTGTAAGTCCTTGCTGGTTGAAGTGATGGTGGTCAAGATTAGAGACTGCTAGAGTCCTGTTCCCCACCTGGACCTCATGGAGGTTCTTCTTACATCCCTTACAGATGCTGATGATTTTTGTGTGGTATACAATGACCAACTTTGATGAACTCACTTTTATTGTCCAGGGTACAACAAAGTTCCTACATACACAGGAGATAACGACTCCTCTGAGGAATTAGGAACAGTCTTTCTTCAGTCTACAGGTAGAAGAGGAAAATTTCAAAGCCTTTACTGTCAAGAAAGAACTTTTAGAAGGTTTTGCATTTTTTAGGTATTTCAGGGCCAGAAATTATGAGATAAACAACCAAAGACAAAAGAAGACTTTTAAAGTTTTCATGTTAAGTTTTCTATGAAATGTTAGTATTTTTGAAATCAAAGATTTCAAAACTGATACATAGTAAATAAACATAACAGATGAATAATTTTCAGCCAAATTTCCACACATTCAGGTATCACACATGATAATGGGTAAAGTGATTCTGATTTTCTTTACTATATTTGACAGTGTTAGATATTGTGATTTTTAATTTAACATGTGAAATGAATAGTTTTCAAACTCATCTTAAGATTTAAAATATTATCTTATATTTTTCTTTTTGTTTATTCCCTGATTTTTTTCATTTCCAGTGGTTTAACTTTCTGAATCATTCACCAGCAGGATTCTTTAGGAGGGCCAGCATCTTCAAAATAAGAGTCAGGATTGCATTGGCTAGCAATCTATGAAAAGATCAAGGGGAAAACCACACAAAAGAGTAAATAAAAGGACAACTAGTAACATATGGGACATGGACTATTAGTCTTACTTCTATCCCACCTTGTCATCAGCACCCAAGTCACTCCACAGAGTTCAGGGTTTACTTACAGTACCATTGTTACATAATAATTCTTCCCACTATGATACAAAATCACACTCTAGGAGGATTTCCTAGAAGATATTCAGACCGAGATTTGTTGTGTAATCTTGCCTGGACTTGCATGTGTTCAGTAACTCTTCAATTCAGTGTGACCTTGGATTTGATTTACCTGAGATCTAACAGAACTACAAATTCTATTCCTTCAGTTTCTCCAGGATTTTGTTTGCACAACAGTGACTTGAGTTGTCAGTTACTTTGAGGTTGACAGAAATCTCACCAACAATTGACTAACACCTACAACAGGCTGACACAGGCAGAATCATCAGGTTATGTCCCGACTTTAATGAAGGATGTTTGGTAAACTGATGCCCCAACCAGCTCTGACCCCACACTCCCTTCCACGGTGACTGTGGTTCACCCGAGACCCCAGGAAATGTCTGTCATAGGTACAGGTGACCTCAAATTATTAGAAGTTTTATCCCAGTCCTTGCTATTCTCACCTACAGAATCTCATTGTGAACCACAGACTCAGAGCTGCAGATGCTGAACATAAAATCCAAGTGAGAGACACAACTTCTCACACAGAACTAACAAGGAACCGGAACCCTGACAGAAACTGCTTTCACATGATGAGAAAACCTCTGTATGGGAAGGGGAAACATTGCTTTCTGGGATATGGGAAACATTATCTATTCTGTCCATCCTCTTAGAACATGTTGACTTAAGAAATCTCTTTCTTTGATATGGTGTTGTGTGTGTGTGTGTGTGTTTACCTTATCTAATATGCACCATATGGTGTGTATGTGTCAATCATCTGTCTGTCTTATCTGTCTATGTATCTATCCATCTATCTGTCTCTCTGGGAAGAGAGAGAGAAGTATGGCAGGATACACACCAGGTTGTAACAAACTGTTACCACAAACTTCATATTCACTGTCGGAAGCATAACATTTTGTCTTCTCTCCTATTCTCTGCTGCAGAACTAGGATTTCTCCTCCTGTAAGTTTGAGATTCTTCTCTACCTGTCCTGTTCTTCTCAGCTTCAACTTCTCAAAGAGTAGATAACTCACAAGGTCCCAGGGTGAGTTTAATTCATTTTAAATCATTATTAAATTGTCTAAAACCATTAACCTGGAAACAGCAAATCCCAGAGACTCTAGTTCATCCTGGGATTTGGAGATCACCAGCCAATCAGCTAGAGTGAGAATGAGACCTGTTTCCTCCTGGACATTAGCTGACAGGAATCCAAACAGGATGGTGATTCACCTGCCAGAAATGGGCTCTGGACACACATGCCTGTATCCTCAGGGTCTCTGGAGCTTTCTCAGAAGGCAGGGCTATGAGCGCTGTGTCCTACCACAGATCCTAATAACCACAGGGAGATCCTGCTTCCCACACAGGCAGTAGGGCATTTGTCTCTGTTAGTTTTCCACCAAACTCAAAAGCCGTTTTAAGTTACTGCACTCCCAGGAGAGGGACCTGAGCCCTGCCTTTGGCTCTTTCCACTCTGCCACACCGACCAAGGGATTTGCATATTGTCCCCTGGAGAGGACCTTACCTTGGAATGTGAGATAAAGGTCAGCTCTGAGCTTGTGTTTACTTACTAGGACTCATCAGGTCAGGTTCTCAAAATGAGGTTCCCTTCTCAACTCCTGGGGCTACTGATGCTCTGGGTCCCAGGTAATAGCATAGAGGGGGGAGGAGACGGGAGGTTGGTGTGGGGAGGCTGAGCTATCTGGGTGCTCTTCCTTCTTATGTGTGATCTGTCCAGGGGAGAGATTGCCCTCCATGAGGGGAATTTAATTTTGAGATCTGTGAAAATTATGAGGAAACTAAAGGGAACAAAGAGCAATGTTTTAGTGAGATGCTAAAAAATTATGTGGCTACTCTGTGCTCTGCAGTTCTTGGGTTATCCATGGAGATTGGATATATTTAGAGTAGGAATCAAATCACAAAATATGATTTAGCCTAATGTAAGTGACATTTAAAATCATAAAAATGGCTTATAATGTGTCAAATTAACCTGTACTTATCTCTCATTATTTTAGGATCCAGCAGGGATATTGTGCTGACACAGACCCCACTGTCCCTGTCTGTTGCCCCTGGAGAGTCGGCCTCCATCTCCTGCAGGGCCAGTCAGAGTCTCCTGCACAGAGATGGAAACACCTATTTGTATTGGTACCTAGAGAAACCAGGCTACTCCCCACAGCTCCTCATCTATGAGGTTTCCATCCATAAATCTGGGGTCCCAGACAAGTTCAGTGGCAGTGGCTCAGGGACAGATTTCATCCTGAGAATCAGCAGGGTGGAGGATGATGATGTGGGAGTTTATTACTGCGAGCAAGGTACACATGTTCCTCCACAGTGGTTCAGGCCCGAACACAAACCTCTCTGTTTGGTGGTCCCCACTGGGCACGTATGTTGCCTGAGCAGGGAGCCAGCACAGCAGAGGCTCTGAGCTGGCATCAAAGGCAGGTGCTGGGGATGTCAGGGCGGTAACATGTAGCTGAGTACTCTGGACCGAGTCCCGACCCTGGGCAGCAACAGCCTCAACGGGGCACAACCAGCTCCAGAAGGGACATGATCACTGAGCAGTGAGCTGCCAGGGACAACCGCCCTGAACCTCACCCTGACCCTCCTGCCCTGTGTATGGCTCAGGGATGGTGACTCAGCCTGAGCATCAGAAACCTGAGCCATTTATTTGAAAACACAATTACATACATTTGCGGCAAAACATGTTTCCTATATTTTCATTAAGAGGCTATATGGTATCATTCAGAATTTATTATTTTTTATTTTCCCACTTTTTGACATCTGCTTTCCCAGTTAAACTAACGGCTCTGTTACAATGTGATCTGGATATCATTCTATACATGCTTTCCCCATAAGAAAAACACGTGAGAAAAATTAGTAAAATTGTTTGGTGGTCAAGCACCCAAATAAACTGTTGTTGTAAATTCATAGCAAATATAAGCTCCGGATTCTTTAAAGAATAGGTGGCATATACATATATATATATATTGAAATACTACTCAACCAAGGAAATTATATCTTGTTATTTGCAAAAACATGGATGGACCTAGAAACTATAATGCTAAGTAAAACAATTCAGACAGAGAAAGACAAATACTATATGTCTTTATTTTTATGTAGAATCTACAAACAAAACAAACAAAAACCCCACAAACATGAACTGGCCCATGAATAAAGAGAACATGGACACGATATATTAACATTGTGCAAATGTGCACCTAACTCATACCTCTCTTATGTACAGAACAGACAAAAGGATCATACATTTTCATGTCCCCTTTAGTCTTCTTTCCTCTCCATCTCTCACGTGCATCAAAGTTCCACAGAGAAAAAGCAAACACATAAATAAGTAATCAAGCTATCTCACATTTAAGCAGTGGAAGGATATTTTAACTGATGAGAAAGCTGTAGGACTTCATGAGAAATCCTCAGGACAGAAGTTCCATCTCTCACAGGAGACACTTTGGGGTTGGGGATGCAAATTGCTACACAAAGGAAAGAGTTCATTACAATGGAGGGATTATGAGGTGGCCTGTGGTCAGAGGGAACTTCTGTCTCACTTTCCATGATTAGACTGGGGTGATTAGGGGTCCTTCCCAAGGATTACAACTGCTACAAGAATACCCTTCACAGTCAACATAAGACATTGCTCCCATTTCTCCACAGGACTCAGCAGAATTGCAGACAGCTCTACAAAATGTATTTCCATATACATTTATTCAAGGAAAAACAAAGAAAAGAAATGATGATATTGGGAAGGAATTCAAATTACACATATGAAGATCAGGACTTTGAAGGACCTAGATCATTGAAGCTCAGAGATGACCTGCTTCATATGGTTGAGAAATAACTTTTAAAGTCAGAAGATCAACACATTCATATGTATACGTGAGCCGCCTGGCACCAAAATTATTCTTTTTGAGTTCATCCTCTAGAGGGTGATCATTTGCAGTTCTTTGGAAAAGGGGACCCATTTCAGTCACAGGTCCCAAGAAGCTGCTTAACAGACCTCATGTTGGGGAAGCTCCCTCTGCTGGATGGTTTCATCTCAGTTCTCAGCAAAAGATAAGCTCACCTTTTCTCAGAAAGAACCTCATTTGGGCTCAGTCAGGATACAGGTCAGTTGTTCATCAACTTGGCCAAAGCACTATGAGTTCGAGTGGTTTGGCTTGAGAAAATTTATAGATCAATTTCTACAATATGTACAAAAGGGTCACACTCCCCACCCACACACCCTGACCCAAGAATAATGGACTCACATAACTGAAGCAGCAAGAGCATCACCCCAAGGGACACAACTCACACCCTGGCTTCCACTTTGATGGATTCCAAAGAGACATCCCCTGGCACAGAGACATAAGTGCAATAAAACCCACCAGTATAAGTCCTTGCTCATTCAGGCACCTTGGTCAAGATTAGAGACTCTAGAGTCCTTTTCCCCACCTGGACCTCATGGATGTTCTTCTTACACCCCTTACAGATGCCGGTGATTTCTGTGTGTTGTACCCTGACCTGCTTGATGGGGTCTATTTTACTGTCCAGGATACAACATAGTTCGTAAACATGAAGGACACAAACACTCCTGGTTAGAACTAGGAATGCTCTTCCTTCAGTCTACAGGGAGTACAGGAAAACTTCCAAGCCTTTAGATGAGAAAAAATTCTTTATAAGATCTTTCATTTTCTATATATTTTAGGGTAAGACAGTATGAGATACATAACCAAACAGAAAAGGAGACTTGTAGCATTTTCATGTCATGTTCTGTAGGAAATAGTTATAAGTTTGAAATTCAAGTATTCTTTTTTTTAAAGATTTTATTTATTCATTTGACAGAGAGAGAGAGCAATCGCAAGTAGACAGAGATGCAGGCAGAGAAAGAGGGGGAAGCAGGCTCCCCGCTGAGCAGAGATTCCCGACTCGGGTCTCGGTCCCAGCACCCTGGGATCATGACCTGAGCTGAAGGCAGAGGCTTAACCCACTGAGCCACCCAGGTGCCCTGAAATTCAAGCATTCTTAAGAATACTTTGTGGGAGAAAAAAAAACTTTCAACTGATACACAGAAAATAAACATGACAGATGAAAAATTTCTGGCCATATATCCACACATTGAGGTTTCACATACCATAATGGGTAATGTTATTCTGATTCTTTTTTTTACTGTACTTGACACACAGTGGTAGATAATGTAATTGTTAATTAGCATCTGTAATGAATGGTTTTTCCAAATTCATGTTAAGATTTACAATACTGTCTTGTATTTTCCATTTGCTTTTGTCGTGCTCTTTTCATTTTCACTGGCTTATCTTTCTGAATTCATTCACTAGCAGGATTCATTAGGAAGGCTGGCATTTTCAAGAGTAAGATTCAGGATTGTTCTGGCTAGCACAGAAATCACAAAAGGGCAAATAAAATGCTAGCTAGTCAAGTATGGGACATGGGCTCTTCTACTTCTACTTCTTCCATGGTTTGTCTTCAACACCCAAGTCTCCATGCTGAGATCAGGCTTTGCTTTAGATACCATTTTTACACAATAGCTCGTTTAGATTTTACACAAAATCTAACTCTTGGGAGATTTCCTGGAAGATATTCAGACTGAGCTTTATTGTTAATCAAGCCTGAAACTGTATGTATTCAGTTATTTTTCAGTTCGGTATGACTTCGGATTTAAATTACGGTTGATCTAATAGAAGTACAAACTGTATTCTTTAGTTTCTCTAGGATTTTGTTTGCAGAATGGTGACTTGAGTTCTGAGGTAATTTGAACTTGATACAATTCTCACAAATGATTCAATATAACACAAGGTCAAGCTGACACATGAAGAACCATCAGTTTATGTCCCCATTTTAGTGAAGGGTCTAACATATGCCATTTGGTGTGTGTGTCCCTATCTGCCTACCTCTATCTCTCTCTCGAGAGAAACAGTACAGGATATACACCAGGTTGTAACAAATGGTTACCACATTCCTACTCACTGCCTGAAGCATAAAATTCTGTCTTCTCTCCTACTCTTTTCTGCCAGACTATGAGTTCTCCTCCTGTGAGAGATTCTTTTGATCCTCTCAAGTTCTTCTCACATTCATCTTCTTTTTTTTTTTTTAAGATTTTATTTATTTATTTGTCAGAGAGAGAGAGGGAGAGAGAGCAAGCACAGGCAGACAGAATGGCAGGCAGAGGCAGAGGGAGAAGCAGGCTCCCTGATGAGCAAGGAGCACGATGTGGGACTCGATCCCAGGACGCCGGGATCACGACCTGAGCCGAAGGCAGCTGCCCAACCAACTGAGCCACCCAGGCGTCCCTCACATTCATCTTCTAATAGAGTATAATTCACGAAACCCCAGGGTGAGATTAATTCTTTATTAAATCATTACTAAATAGTCCAAGACCATTAACCTGGAAACAGCAGATCCCAGAGACTCCTGATCTATCTCCAGTTCATCCTGAGATCTGGAGATAGCCGGAAAATCAGCTGGAGTGCGAGTGCGACCTGTTTCCTCCTGGTCATTAGCTGACAGGAATTTAGGCAGGATGGCCATTCACCTGCCAGAAATGGATTATGGACATGTGTGTCTTTATTGTCAGGGTCTCTGGAGCTCTCTAAGAAGGCAGGGCTATGGGCGCTGTGTCCTGCCACAGATCCTGATTATTGCAGGGAGATCTTGCTCCCACCAAGGCAGAAAAGAATTTGTCTCTGTTAGTTTTCCTCCAAACACAGAAGTCACTTTAAGTTACTGCTCTCCCAGTAGAGGGACTTGCACCCTGTCTTTGGCTCTTTCCACTCTGCCACACCCACCACGGGATTTGCATATCATCTCCTGGGGAGGACCTTGCCTTGGAAGTCTAACATAAAGGTCAGCTCTGAGTTTGTGTTTACTTACTAGGACTCATCAGTTCAGCTTCTCAAAATGAGGTTCCCTTCTCAGCTTCTGGGGCTGTTGATGCTCTGTGTCCCAGGTAAGAGCAGAGGGTGGATAAGGAAGGAGATTGGCATGGGGAGGGTGAGCTGTCTGGGTGCTGTTACTCCCTATGGGTGCTCTGTCCAGGGGTGAGATTGCCCTCCAGCAAGAGGTATTTAATTTTAAGATCTGTGAAAACCATGAAGAAACTGCTAAAAACAAAGAACAGTTCTTTAATGAGATGCTGAAAAAAAAATTGTGGCCACTCTGTGCCCTGAAATTCTTGGGTTATCCATGGAATTCGGATATATTTAGAGTAGGAATCCATTCACAAAATATGATTTAGCCTAATATACATGAAATTTAAAATCATAATAATGGTTTATAATGTTTCTTCACAACCTTTACTTATCTCTCATATTTTAGGATCCAATGGGGAGGTTGTGATGACACAGACCCCACTCTTGCTGCCCGTCACCCCTGGAGAGCCAGCCTCCATCTCCTGCAAAGCCAGTCAGAGCCTCGTACACAGTAATGGAAACACCTATTTGCATTGGTACCTGCAGAAGTCAGGCCAGTCCCCACAGCTCCTCATCTATGAGGTTTCCAAACATTTCACTGGAGTCCCAGACAGGTTCAGTGGCAGCGGGTCAGGGACAGATTTCACCCTGAGAATCAGCAGGGTGGAGGCTGATGATGTGGGAGTTTATTACTGTGAACAAGGTACCCACACTCCTCCCACAGTGGTTCAGGTTCGTACACAAACCTCTCTGTCTGGCAGTCCCTTCTGGCCACATGTGTTGCCTTAGCAGGGAGCAGGCTCAGCAAAGGCTCTGAGCTAATGTCAGAGGCAGGTGCTGGGGAAGTCAGGGCAGTAACATGCAGCTGAGTACTCTGGACCAAGTCCTGACCTCTGGGCACCAACAGCCTCAGTGGGGCACAACCAGCTACAGAGGGAGATGATCATCCTGAGGGCTTAGCGGTGAACTCCATGGAGAGCCGCCCTGAAACTCACCCTGACCCTCCTGGCTTGTGTGCGTGGGTCAGGGACAATTACTCAGCCTGAATGTCAGAAACCTGAGGCATATTTTGTGGCAACAAATTACATACATTTTTGAGCTAACAAAGTTTGTGATATTTTTAGTGGGATAATATTTGATATCCTTCATAATTTATTATTGCATATTTTCCCACTTTCTGAATTTCTTCTTTCCCAGTTATACTAACTGTTCTTGTACTATTTTCTCTAGGTAACATTCTATACACACTAACTCCACAGGAAATATGGCTGAGAATGATTAGTAAACCTTTTTCTTCAAGCTCCCAAACAGACTTGTAAACCCATAGCAGATATAAGCTCCTAATCCTATAAAGATGATGTCCATATATACAATGAAATTTTACAAAGCCATAAAAAGAATGAAATCTAGCCATTTGGGACAACATGGATGGACCAGTAGGGTATTATGGGAGGTGAAGTTGAGAGAAAGGCAAACATCATATGATTTCATTTATATGTAGAATCTAAAACAGAAAACAAAACAAACAAAAGCAGAAAGATGCCTGAATACAGAGACCAAACTGGTGGTTGCCTGAGGGGAAGGGAACAGGCAGGAGGGGAAGAATGTGTGAAGGAGTTGGGAGGAACCGGCTTCCAGTTATGGAATGAGTAAGTCACAGGGATGAAGGTACAAGGAAGGGAGTATAGTCTATGATAGTGCAACAGTGTTGTGCAGAGAGAGACAATAGCTACACTTGCAATGAGCATAGCATAGCATACAGATATGTCAAAAAAAGAATTATGAGAATTCTTCAGGGAATTTAGGATCTCGGTTTTGAAAATAGCTACAGTTATGTAAACTAAGTAGCCACAGTCCTAGAAGTAAATGGTAAATTTAAATATTGTCACATTTGATGAAGAGTATTATTTTATATGAAGCTTCATATGAAACAATCTAATAAGACAATTTTAAGATTAATTGTAATTGAAGGAACAGAGATAGGAGGTAATAAACAGGTGTTTTGAAGTGTATGCAAATTATGGAGCTATTGTCAGTTTCATGTTTTATATCTACATATTGCAAGAAATGTCAGAAGAAATATTAAGATATTGTATACATTTGTATCTAACATTAAATCAGATTTAGAGAAAACTAATTTGTGTGAAGAGTTGTCTTTTTTTTAGAAATGGTTCATCATGTCTAGACATATCAAAATTTATAGTTGAAAATAATTAATCAGAAGGCATCATAATGTCATCACATCGACATTATAAATAAAATATTCCGAACTCAAGGTTTTATTTTCCTTTCAGTCAGAAAAAAAATTTTCAAAATTAGAAATTTTGGAAAAATATTTGAGGTCATGTATTTGCCAAAAGACACTGTTATTTTCAATTATGTATGGAAATTGAGTTTGCTAAAAGTACAAATTTTGATACCATAATAAATGAAATTGCAGAAAAGCAATCCAGAAAAATCTTATATTCAGTCAATATATCAAACCAATAAAGTCTTATCATCTATTATACATATTTATTGTATTATTTAAAATTATAATACACAAATATTATTCTTATAAGTTCATCTGTGTAGAAATTTATTGTGAGCTTATTGTAATATTTGTAAGTTTATTGCCAGTATTACGTTGCCAGTTTTAACACACAAGTATTATTTCGGCAAATACTTATTTGTCTCTATTTGCTCTAGCCCTGTGGGCCTGAGAATTTCAGCCCTGCTGGCCAACAGAGCCAGGTGGTCAAGGGGAGCTGGGGCACCAGACAAGTGCACAAGCTCTTTCCAGGGAGACACCAGGGACCTGGAGCTGGGCAGAGAGAGAATGTAGAGAGCAAACACAGGCTTCCCCGATTTCCAGGGAGGAATGCAGTCAGCCCACAGATGTGTTCTGAATTGGAAGCCTTCAGGCAGCAGCCTTTAAGATCTGAAAATAGGTTTCTTTGAGGGTAAGACTGGGAGGTGGGTGGTTCTGTCTGCTCCCTGTTTCTTTGTTTACTGTTCTCGTGGGGAGTCTCCATGCACTGCCCTGCTGGCTTCCAGATCGAGGTGTTTTGGGGCAAGTTCCTCAGGTGGAAGTTTTGCAAGTTGGGAACTTGAAGTTGGGTCCAAACCCTTTGCTCTTCAGGAAGAAGCCAGAAGTTACAAGATCCCTTCCAATGGTATACTGTTCTGTTGGAGGTAGACTTTATGGCAAGAATTGTTCCAGCTTTGTGCACGTGTTGCAATGTGGGTATGACCTCTTTAACCCAATGTGTAGGAGTCCCTCAGCTAGTTTCTGGATGTCTCACAGTGGGAGTTGTCCCATGTGTAGCTGTAGGTTCCACGTGTCCATGGGAGGAGGTGAATTCAGAAGCCTCCTCGAACAGCGGCCCCGAACAAGAACTTCTTTTTCTTTGGATTCCTATGGAAGATATTTGACCATAGATTTTAAATATTTCCTCTTTTTTTGTTTTAGCATCTGTAAGGGCCTATTCTGCCAGAGGGAATGCAAGTTGGTGCAGCCACTTTGGAAAACAGTGTGGAGATTCCTTAAGAAATCAAAAATAGAGCTTTCTATGACCCTGCAATTGCACTACTGGGTACTTATCCCAAAGATACAGATGTAGTGGGAAAAAAAGGGCCTACTGTACCTCAATGTTTATAGCAGCAATGGCCACGGTCACCAAACTGTGGAAAGAACCAAGAACCCTTCAACAGACGAATGGATAAGGAAGATGTGGTCCATATACACTATGGAGTATTATGCCTCCATCAGAGAGGATGAATACCCAACTTTTGTATCAACATAGACGGGACTGGAAGAGATTATGCTGAGTGAAATAAGTCAAGCAGACAGAGTCAATTGTCATATGGTTTCACTTTTTTTGTGGAGCATAAGAAATAACACAGAGGAAATGGGGAGATGGAGAAGAGAAGGGAGTTGGGGGAAATTGGAGGGGAAGATGAACCATGAGACACTATGGACTCTGAAAATCAATCTAAGGGCTTTGGAGGGGTGGGGTGGGTAAGTTGGGTGCAATTGGTGGTGGGTAATATGGAGGGCACGTATTACATGGAGCACTCAGTGTGGTGCATAAACAATGAATTCTGGTACACTGAAAAGAAATTTAAAAATTAAAAATTAAAAAAGAAAAGATGTGTTATACATGTGTATGCACATAATGAAATACTACTCAGCCATGAAAGGGAAGGGAATCTTGCCATTTGGGACAACATGGATGAAACTTGAAAGTAATATGCTAAGTGAAATAAGGAAGACAGAGAAAGATATTATGTATAATATCACTTACATGTGGAACCTAAAAGTGCCAAATACATGGAAACAGAGAGTAGATTGGTGGTTGCCAGGGGCTGGGTGGTGAGATAAATAGGGGAGATATTGATCACAGGGTACAAATTTCTGTATATAAAATAATTTCTAATGGTCTCTTGTACTGCAAGGTGACTGTAGTTAACAGTATTATATTGTACTGGAAGGTAACTAAGAGACTAGACCTTCAATGTTCTCACCACAAAAAAAGTAAATAAGTAAAACAAAAAGGATAATTATGTTAAGTGAAGGTTGCATTAACTATCCTTATGTTGGTAACTATTTCACAATATAAACATAGATCAAATTATCACGTTGGGTAAAACTTAAACTTACACAATGTTATATGTCAATTCTATCTAGAAAAAAAAAATGTTGACATCATTTCCTTCTGACCCCCATGGTTTCTGAATAGAAATCCTCTGTCATTCGAGGTGTTTTCCTCTCTGAGTAGGTGTGATTTTTCTCTTTCTTCCTATGATATACTTCCTTTTTCTTTAGTGCTCAGAAATGTTAATTCGATGTGTCTTGACATATATTTCTTCAGGATTATGCTGTTGGGGTTCTGTTAAATGTGTAAATTTTTGAGCAATTAATTGTTCAAAATATTTTTTGTCTCCATCTTCTCTCCCCACTCTTTCTAGGATTCCAGTGGCACAAATGTTAGATCTTTTGTTTGGTCCCATGTATCCCAGACACTGTGGGGTTTTATTGTTCTTGGTTTTGGTTTGGGGGTTTTGTTTTGCTTGGATTTGTTTTTAGCTTAGTTTATCATTTTGGTTTAGATTGATTGGGCAATTTCTTGCTTCTGATCTTTCCTACTTTATCCTTTCACTCTCTTCCTTCCAGTCCCTTCCTAGCCAGCCACCCCATAGGGCATCCATATCCTTACTTCAGACCATTTTCCCAGCCACATTGAGTCAATGACCATTTGTGCTCTTTGAGTGTCTACTAAAAAAAACATCTTATTTCAATATGGAATGGTATGGGAACTGTCCAGTTTAAGTTACATCAACATATGATGTGAAACTGGGCAGACCCTGGAGTCCTCTCTATGCTATAAGCTGGTTGGGAGGCCCTGTGTCTTTAATCAGATGTGGTAAGAAACAAAGACAGGAAAGCTATTACAATGCAGTAAAAAGTTTTTACTATACACATAGTCCCCTGGAAACAGAACACACAGCATGCCACCCGGGGACACAGGCAGTTTCGAGGTGAGAAGCACAGGCAGAGAGAAGTACTGCTGGCCTGTATTTTTTACTGCATATTTCATGAGAAGTAATGGAGAATTGAAGTCAACAAGCTACTTAGACATAAGATTGGAGAGTTTGAAAATTTCAGCAGGCTACAGACTACAGCTGTGCCCCTTGTCCTCTGGTATCCAGGGGGGATTTAGGTAGAGGGAAATGTCACAGATAGTTGGTCTCATTGACAGAAAGACAGTAAGGATTTGGACTCAGGATCGTCTGGCTTGCATATCAAACCTATGCCCTTGGGCAAGTCTTTTACTGTCTCTGGGAATTAATTAATTTGGCAGAGGCGGTCCCTTCATGGCTGGAGCAGCAAGAATACATAAATAAGTAAATGCATTAAATATAAAGCCTCATGAGGCTAAAAATAGGAGCTCATGCAGGGGTGTTTGGAAAGAGTGGTAAGTATTGTGGTGATCTGAAACTCTTGTCCCATAAATTGTGTGCCTGCTGAATCTGCGTGGGTCCAATACTAATGATAATACTATGTCCTTTCTGATATTGTCTGCTGGTGGGCTCCACCCAATCTTACAGTCTGGTGTGTCTGACATGTCTGGTTTAGGACGAATAGCTCTGTCACACAGTTAATTGATGTGCCGTGGACAGGTCTACCCGGGCCTGTACTATGCTGGGAACTACTCGTTGAATAGTGAATAGGTTGTTCTTGAGAAGGGCCAAGTCTTGCTGAAGAACCAGGAAGTCTGTGCTATGAGTCTTCATCTGGACTTGCCAGAGTGTCCACAACGCCCTTCCTGGACACCGATGCATGTACCACCAAATGATAGGAGAGGTCATAGGGTCCACATGATAGGGCCACTCGCATGGAGACCTAAACCTGACACAGAGTCCCTCCTGGATCTGCATCCACTCTACACTAGTGACTTCAAAATTAGCTGATAAATTGAATGATGTAGCTTATCCAAGTGTGGAATGTTTTGTCTCAACACTCAACACTCACACTCAACAAGATACTGTGCTTCAACCTCAGTAGTTGGAGGTACAAGGAGGTACAAGATACAAATTCTTGTCCTTTACTTCGGAGAGAATGTGGCTGCATTCCTCAGATATCTGCACCCCCAACATAGCCACCAGGGTGGGGGGGCCACATGAATTTTTGTAGGGTTTGCATTCCACTGTTGGAGCACATGTGTTTTTGCAAGTTAGCGAAGTCCTCACCATTTCTTGCTCATTGTGTCAATTAACAGATGTAATTGATAGAGTATGGCCTGGCAGGATGCTCTGGGAGATGTTTATACAATGCACTGTAGGAAGGAATCAGCATAATCCTCGGCCAAGACTAAAGATGTGACCCGCTCTTCACTGCAGGTGAAAGCAATGTCCACCAGAGGACTGCAGTAGATCATATGCCATGCACCCTGCTGGTAGACCTTGTATTTGGCCAAGCATTGGGTAAGCACTTTCAAAACCTCCACATGGCCAGAAGAGGGAGACGCAACACACCCAGGGAAGAATATCCTGGTGGGGAGATTTTTTTTTTTTTTTTCCTATTTGGAATGTTTATTTAAAATTTTTTGAAATTTTTAAAAATTTATTTTAATTTCTTTTTATAAAAATTTATTTTCAGCGTAACAGTATTCATTGCTTTTGCACCACACCCAGTGCTCTATGCAATCCGTGCCCTCTCCAATACCCACCACCTGGTTCCCCCAACCTCCCACCCCCCACCCCTTCAAAACCCTCAGATTGTTTTTCAGAGTCCATAGTCTCTCATGGTTCACCTCCCCTTCCAATTTCCCTCAACTCCCTTCTCCTCTCCATCTCCCCTTGTCCTCCATGCTATTTGTTATGCTCCACAAATAAGTGAAACCATATGATAATTGACTCTCTCTGCTTGACTTATTTCATTCAGCATAATATCTTCCAGTCCCATCCATGTTGCTATAAAAGTTGGGTATTCATCCTTTCTGATGGAGGCATAATACTCCATACTGTATATGGACCACATCTTCCTTATCCATTCATCCGTTGAAGGGCATCTTGGTTCTTTCCACAGTTTGGTGACCGTGACCATTGCTGCTATAAACATTGGGGTACAGATGGCCCTTCTTCTCACTACATCTGTATCTTTGGGGTAAATACCCAGTAGTGCAATTGCAGGGTCATAGGGAAGCTCTATTTTTAATTTCTTGAGGAAACTCCACACTGTTCTCCAAAGAGGCTGCACCAACTTGCATTCTCACTAACAGTGTAAGAGGGTTCCCCTTTCTCCACATCCCCTCCAACACATGTTGTTTCCTGTCTTGCTAATTTTGGCCATTCTAAGTGGTGTAAGGTGGTATCTCAATGTGGTTTTAATTTGAATCTCCCTGATGGCTAGTGATGATGAACATTTTTTCATGTGTCTGATAGCCATTTGTATGTCTTCATTGGAGAAGTGTCTGTTCATATCTTCTGCCCATATTTTGATATGATTATCTGTTTTGTGTGTGTTGAGTTTGAGAAGTTCTTTATAGATCCTGGATATCAACCTTTTGTCTGTACTGTCATTTGACAAACTTAATTTTTGAGTACTTAAGCAATAGGAATGCCCCATAATTTGCATATCTTCTTCCTTTTAGATCTGAAGTGTTTCTGCCTCTCAGAATCTAATAACAGAGTTTCTGGGTGTGTGGCATGAACACACTGGACCCATCAAAAAAAGCAGCAAGATGGTGACTCCATCACAGATTCTTGGCCTTCTGCTCCTCTGGGTTCCAGATGAGAATACTTGGACAAAGTAGGTTAAAGTGGGGGTATGATTTTCCACACCTGATTTTCTCTCTTCATTGGGAATCTTTCCACAGATGAATTTGGCTTATTTTAAAAATAAGTAATATTCTCCGTCCTACCTAACTATACTGGTAACTTCAATGTACGTATCTTAAGACACTGCTAATGTTTCCTGCGTGGTTTCAGCCTCCCATGGTGAGATTGTGCTGACCCAGTCTCCTGCCATCCTGTCCATGGCTCCAAAAGAAGGAGTCACCATCACCTGCTGGGCCAGTCAGAACATTAACAAATGGTTAGCCTGGTATCAGCAGGAGCCAGAGAGAGCTCCCAAGCTCCTGATCTATGAAGCATCCAAGTTGGAAACTGGGGTCCCATCGCAGTTCAGCTGCAGTGGGTCTGGGACAGACATCACACTCAGCATCAGCAGCCTGGAGCCTGAAGATGCTGGGACCTACTACTGCCTGCAGTCTAACAGCTACCCGCCCTCAGTGTTACAGGTCAGAGCATAAACCACCAGGGAATCAGACATGAGGCGCTGGGCTGCTCCCATTGTTCCTCTGATGCCTGCACCTGCTCAAACATTTTCTCAGAGGCAGCCACAATTTGGAGGTCACAGGGGCTTTGGGAGAAGGGTAAGGAGGATCCTCGGCCCCCTGACTGACTCCCTTTCCCCCAGATCATTACACCTGAGGACTGTGGGTGATGGCATCCACAAGGGTTTGTACAGTAAAAGAGAAGCCACTCTAGGTATTCCAAGCAGGAATTGCTTCCTATGAGGAAGTAATGTTTAAACATTACTCTTTCAAAGGCCTGGGGATATAATAAGGAAAGCAGACATTAGAAATAGTGATTCCTCAGTGAACCCCATAAGTCAGAGAATTTATACCATTGGAGATACAGGCTGCCTAACCACGTTTCCTCAGGCCTGTCTAGGAGGGCCATGGATGGAGGCGCTGATGCTCTAGCCACTGAAGTCCCTCCCCAGGTGATTCTCCAGTCCCCCACTTATCACTCACCTGCCTGCAGGTGCTGATGAAAGGCATTGAATCCTCCTCTTCTGACATCCAGATCTAGTGTAAGGTGCCTCATGAGCAACACTGTATGAAACCATAGAGGAAAGGGGGCTCTGGAAAATGTGCTTCCAGAAATGTCGGTGGTGATGGGGAGTTGACAGAAGACAGCCTGGCATGGTCACTGTTTTTCCATCTCCCAGAAGTTGGCCAGTTAGAAGAAGGCCCCAGAACATGTTTGAATACGCTTCTAGCTATCATCATTACATCATAACAAGGAGATTTTGCTAAGCATCTGAAGGAACAGAAGAATGAGAAAATTGTGTCATGTATATAGAAAAAACTAGACAAAGAAGGACTTTCATGATTAAAAAAAAAACTAAATGTGGAAGAAGCATTTTTTTCTTAATATAAAAATATCTTGTTTCTTAAAATTCTGTATAAACCAGAGCATCATCAACAACCCTGAAAGCTTGTGCCAAATGAGAAATAGCTATCTCCACCTGATACCTACTCATATGGCTTTCCATTTTAACAAGATGACAGGAGAGCTGTATAAGTTTTAAGATTCTTTATTGTAGGGGCACCTGGGTGGCTCAGTGGGTTAAGGCCTCTGCCTTCAGCTCAGGTCATGATCCCAGGGTCCTGGGATCTAGCCCCGCATTGGGCTCTCTGCTCAGCAGGGAGCCTGCTTCCACCTCTCTCTATCTCCCTGCCTCTCTGCCTACTTGTGATCTCTGCTGTCAAATAAATAAATAAAATTAAAAAAAAAAAAAGATTCTTTATTGTACAGCATTTTTACTTATCCTAAAGTAGTATTTCTGTACTTTTCTATTTTCATTTAAGACATTTCTATGGAAAGCCACCTGTTGAATTAAAGCCACAGGTCAAAAACTCCTCTAGTTTTACTTTCTACATCATACAAAATTAAATTACAAACTTCTTTTTAGACTGTAAATATGGAAAAATATAATTATTTGGAAATAACATGACTATGTATCTTAAACATTAAATAGAATAATGTTTTGTAAAAATTTAAAGAATTACTAAGACCACAGTAAGAATAAAACAAAATTTTATGCAATTCTGTCAGAATAACTGGACTTAGATTTCCTTGTTTTGTGGTTTCTGTACCCTCCTACAGCTTGCCATGAGAATGATGTGCCATGGGGAGTCACCACACTCTGTCTTGGTCCCAGATCAACCACAATCTGTAGACTGGAGAACGTTCAATTCCCTGCAGAATAAACACACAGCTGAGCCCTGTGTGCCTTATCCAAATTATTGTCAACATGAACATCTGTGACTATAGAAACAAATGCTTAGTATGCCAAGCCATTGAGTTTTTGACTGGTTTGTTAAAATAGTGTGTAAAATCTGACTAATATAGTTTTTACACATCCTTGCATAGAAATTGACAGGTTTTATTAAACACGATGGCATAAAAGGGATCCTGGAAATCTATTCATAAGAAGATACAAAACAAAGAAATGTTTTAAAAAATATTTGAATTAAAAGTTTAAGTTCACCCCATTGTAGAAACATCTAAGTATGATTACTTAGAGTAATGGTGACAAATTCTGTCGATAATTCAGACTTATTAAATGTGATTAAATCTAAAGTTCATATATATTCATTCATATATATGTGCATGTATGTCCATATGCATATATACATATATGTATAATATATGTACATGTAGATACATATTTTTGATGTGTTTATACAATTATCTTATGAATTAAATGGATTAATATGAGTCCAGTAACTCCCCATAAATAACTGGTGTCCAGGACCAGATATAGTACTAAACTGGCTTGAAGAATTTTCTTTACAATCTTTGCTTCTAAATCATACACCAATTGGTATACTTATCTGAATATCACTCAGTGGAGGTCCTAACGGTTTAAATGGAGTTATTTCTTCCTACAAACCATTACAGCCCATGAAAGCCCCATTATCTCTATGTCCACATTCATGTGGTGAATGCAGGTATGAGATATTACCCAACCTTTTTTTTTTCATTTAATGGTGAAATCTATTAGTACTCTCATAGCATAGGTTACAGCTCTTGTAATTTACCAAGAAAATAACAAATAAATGAAACTACAAATCAACATACATTAAACAGTCTGATGAAAAATGAATTCATGGGTAATATCACTTGTCCTCAAGTGGGGCATAAGGGACAGAACTCAGCCTTCTGAGAGGAAGTTTATCAGAATCTTGGAGTGGGGGAGGAGTCAAGATGGCAGAGAAGTAGGAGGCTGAGACAACATCAGGTAGCAGGAGATCAGCTAGATGGCTTGTCAAACCATTGCAAACACCTACAAACCCAACAGGAGATCAAAGAGAAGAAGAGCAACAATTCTAGAAACAGAAAATCTATCACTTTCTGAAAGGTAGGACTGGCGGAGAAGTGAATCCAAAGTGACAGGAAGATAGTCCGCAGGAGGAGGGGCTGGCTACAGGCAAGTGGCAGAACAATGAAGCACAAAATCAGGACTTTTAGAAGTCTGATCCAATGAGGGACATTGCTCCAGAGGCTAAACTGGGGTGAAGCCCACGTGGGGTCAGCATGGCCCCAGGTCCCACGGGGTCACAGAAGGATCGGAGGTGTCTAAGTGTCTCAGAGCTCGCAGGTATTAGGGTGGGGAAGTTGGCTACAGAGACAGGGCCAAGGAGTGAGCTCTCAACTAGGGGTTACCTTGAACTGTAATCTGTGGCACGGGCCACTGCTCTGTGAGTGGGGTCCCCACAAGATCAAGGGAGACACCCCCTGGAAGAGCTCAGGGATCTGTGGGGTTCAGAGACTCCAGGTGGAGCTGCGTGCCAGAGACAGAGATGCTTGGTCACAGGCTGAGTGAGCTCAGAGCGTGGCTGGAGGCCAGGGAGATGGGAGTGATTGAGCGCTTTTTTTTCTGAGGGCACACTGAGGAGTGGGGCCCTGAGCTCTCGGCTCCTCCGGGCCAGAGAACAGGAGGGCGCCATTTTCATTCCCATCCTCCAGAACTCTATGGAAAGTGTTCAGGGAACATAAGCTCCCAAAAGTGAACCTGAGCAGATTACTTAGCCTTGCCCCTGGTAAGGGCGGTGCAATTCTGCCTCAGGCAAAGACACTTGAGAATCACTACAACAGGCCCCTTCCCCAAAAGATCAACAGGAAAACCAACCAAGACCAAGTTCACTTACAAAGAAGAACAGAGGAATTCCAGAGGAGAAAACAAAGCATGGAATTCATGGCTTTCTCCTGATGATTCTTTAGTCTTACAGTTAATTATTTTTTTTTAATTTTATTTTTTTTCTTCTGCTAAATTCTTTTTAACTTTTACCCTTTCCTCTTTTAATGTTTTTTAAATAGTTTATCTTAACAGTAACTTTCATAAAAAAATAATAATAATAATCTTTTTTGAACCTTCATTGTTATAGTCATATTTTATACTTCATTGTATCTAACTTTTTTTTTTAATTTATATTCAGCGTATAGTATTCATTTTTTTTTTCAACACACCCAGTGCTCTATGCAATCTGTGCCCTCTCCAATACCCACCACCTGGTTTCCCCAACCTCCCACCCCCACCCCTTCAAAACCCTCAGATTGTTTTTCAGAGTCCTAACTTTATTTTTTGTATACACATAGGGTTTTTTCTTCTAAAAAATTTGAGGTACAACTTCTTCTAATAGATCAAAATATACCCTAAATCTATCTCCGGGCTTGTTCTAGTCTCCAGCCCAAACAAATTCTCCCAACAAATTTACTTTATCAACTCCTTTTTTAGAAATAAAAAAAATTTTTTTTCATCTTTATAGGCATATTCCATCCCTTCATTGTGTTTACACTGATATATGTTTTTCATTCTTTAAAATTTTTGGAGGTAGTTTCTTCTAAGAGACCAAAATACTCCCAAAATTAAGTGGGGGACCCTGTTCTAGTCACCAGTCTAATATAGATATATATTTTTTCTTTTTTGTATTTTTTATTTATTTGTTTTCTTTTTTTAATTTTTTTTCTAAACTTCTTTTTATCCCCTTTCTCCCCCCCAAAATTTGGGGGTCGCTTCTGATTTGGTTAAAGCACATTTTCCTGGGGTCTTTGCCACACTTTTAGTATTTTATTTGCTCCTTCATATATTCTTATCCAGATGAAATGACAAGGCGGAAAAACTCACCACCAAAAAAAAAAAAAAAAAAGAACAAACGGCAGTACCGAAGGCTAGAGACATAATCAATACAGATATTAGTAACATGTCAGATCTAGAGCTCAGAATGATGATTCTCAAGTTTCTAGCTGGGCTTGAAAAAGGCATGGAAGATATTAGAGAAACACTCTCTGGAGAAATAATAGCCCTTTCTGGAGAAATAAAAGAACTAATATCTAACCCAGTTGAAATTAAAAAAGCTATTAATGGAGTGCATTCAAAAATGGAGGCTCTTACTGCTAGGATAAATGAGGCAGAAGGAAGAATTAGTGATATAGAAGACCAAATGACAGAGAATAA